ACTCGCCTTTGTTTCCACCACTCGGTCTAACAACACTGACTGAAGGTTTCCTACCCTTGCTTCAAAAAGGGATACTGCTTCTTGGACCCTCAAGTCCAGAGGAAGCAAACCAGACAATGCAGGGATACGGTCCGGTAAGCTTTAATGATTTTTCGAGCGAATCCTCTCTGCACAGTATTAAGTTGCTTCCTGACTCCGTGTACATCGTCCTAATTATTTCTGGTTGAAGGCACCAGCTGATCTTTGCCGCTCTCGATAACTGTGAATAGAGAGATGTGGCCTTCTTGCATACATTCCTCACGTGTGTGTTAAACGTAAGTTTTCTGTATACGGTGAGACCAAGCACCTTGATCTCCTCTGACATGCGAACTCCCATACCGCCCATGCTCAGACGTGAGGAATCGTATTTTAATCTATTGGTTCTTACCATTGCCTGGGTCTTATGTGGCGCAAATTTAAGTTTATTACAAATTCCTCACCTCATAACATGTTCCGGAGCAGCATTCGCACGTCTTTGGACATCAAGAGCCGTGTCCCCCGCAAACAGTTGAACGATGTCATTGGCGAACGCTTGACACCGGTCGCTTCTCCCTTCCATTTCTCGTAGCAGAGGGTCGAGAAGGAGATTTCATAGGAGCGGTCCTCCTATTGAGCCTTGTACGCACCCCTTGGTGGTTTCCTGTGTTTGTTCCACACCTGCGTACCTTACTCTCACTTTTCTATCCTGGAGATAGCTATCAATCAAACTTTTTATGTTACTGGGGCACTTTTCCTCAGCCAATCGGCATCTTATAGCTGGCCACCAGGCGCTATCGAAGGCTCCTTCTGTGTCAAGAGATATTATCGTGATAATCTTTTTTTTTGCGCAACTGTAATTTTATATATTCCATCATATCATAGGGGGAGTCCTCGGTGCTCCTCTGTGGGGTAAAACCGTATTGGCGTGTACTACTTCCGAGTTGAATATGATGTCTTATCCGTTTGATGATCATTTTCTACAGGTTTTTTCCTAACACAAACACCCTTTTGGTCTGTAGGCTTTGGGGTGCGTTTAGTCATCCTTCCCAGGTTTCCGCAGAACAACTACCACTGCCTCCTTCCATTTGGTTGGGAAGTGTCCTAACTCCAGGCATTTGTTAGCCAGGATCAGAAAAATCTCCGGGCTGTGAAAGATGGCTTCTCGGCAGATATCGGCCGTAAAACCCTCCACACCGGGTGCCTTTTTTGGCTTGAAGCTGCTTGTAGCATGCCTTAGCTTCGCAAGAGTAAATGGTGGGTCACAAGAACCATCTTGCGTCCCTGCATTTATCTTATTTGCTAGCTCTCTTAAACGCCGGTGTTCTGCGTTATCAGCGTGAACCTCATCCTTCGGGCGGAATGTATTGGCCAAATATCTCGCAGATTCGGAATTATTTAGGGCTACTCCATCTTTTGTAAGTGGCAGATATTCGTGCCGTTTAGCAGTTTTGCCGATAACTCGGTAAATGCCTTCCATAACCCCTCTCTATCCTGCCTACCACAGAACTCTTTCCAGCTTTTTATCAGGGGCTGTTTAGCTTCATATCATATTTTTTTTTGCATGCAGGTACTCCGCGACGACAACCTCTCTTCGCACTGGGGCTGCACATCTTATGCGTCGTTTTTTGGTGATGTAGTCCTTCTTAAGCTTGACAAGTTCGTCACTCCACCATGGTAACTTTAATTTACTTATATTTTTCATTTTTGCGATTGTATTTTCTAAGTTTGATATACTTATCTTCACGCACAATCCCTGACGGGGTAGCCAGAAAGAACAGATCGCCAAGTGTCACGATCCTTACAAACCTCTTTCGCTTCTTTCAGATTAATTATCTTCTTCATGCATGCACGTCTTGGTATCCGAGTACTCTTGACCCTACCCTCTTCGAGTAATTTGCTCACCTGTTCTTCGAAAGTTAGTCTCGGTCTACCTCGACACCTTTTAATATTAACTTTCGCGCTATATAATTTCTTCACTATTCGGTCTTCACTCATTCACTCAACGTGCCCAAACCACCGAAGCACGCCCTTATCAATTTTTGTGATAAGGTCATCTTTCAAACCTGCCATATTGCGAATCTCTTCGTTTCGCTTTCGGTCGGCCATGGTAACGCCGCACATTTTACGAAGAGATCGCATCTCCACTGCATTCAACTTGCTTTTATGCTTCTTCTGGCATACCCAGGTTTCGCTGCCATATAACAAAGTCGGTACCAACACTGTGTTATGTATTGCAAGGCGTTCACTCTTCCCTACGCCTTGCCTTTTGACTAACGCAGTCAGGGCACCATTGACTTTGTTCCCGGCAGCGACACGCCTGTCCACATCTAAATCACATCTTCCATCCCGGCTAAAAGCACTCCCCAAGTATACAATTTCATTTACCTATTCTAAACATTCCTGATTTACCCATATTTCACACTTCGTTCTCTCTTCGTCCCTTTCAAATACCAGAACCTTAGTTTTATTAGCGTTCAAACGGAGACCTTTAATTTCACATTCCTCTTTCATACACGTGACTAATGCCTGCAGTTCTGCCTCTGATGGTGCAATAAGCACTGCATCATCAGCATACAGCAGACAATTTACTTTAATGTCACCCAATTTCATACCCAAACAACTATCTTTCAGCTTCTGTAAACAGCTGTCGAGATACAGTATGAACAGTCAGGAAGACATGACACAACCCTGCTTTACGCCCGTTTGGACGTTAAACATGGGTGATAGGTCATGTACTACCCGCACACAGGCTTTACAGTCACAGTAAAGAGACTGCACAGCCCTTAGCAATTAACCATCCACACCATACCCCGGCAACAGTTCCCACTTTTTCTTCCTTACAACCTTATCAAATGCTTTCCACAAAAGCACAGAAAATCTTCTGGTTAGCAGCCAGAAGCTTTTCTGTGATCATGCGGAGAGAAAATATTTGATCCGTGCATCCTCTTCCAGGTCTAAATCCGCATTGTGCCTCCCATAGAAATCTTTCCGATTTCTCTTGCATCCTACGTGTCAAAACCTTCGAGTAAACTTTACTTGCTAAACTGGTCAAGCTGATCGCCCGATAGCACCCGCAGTCAAGATGTGAACCTTCACAATGACTGCGGATCGCCAATCATCCGGGACATCCCCCGTCCGCCAGCACAAATTGCACAGCAGATGAAAGCTCTCCCACACGCGAGGCCCACCATACTTGACCATTTCAGCAGTAACTCTGTCTAGTCCCGCAGCCTTACCATATTTCAAACTTCGAATCGCACGTTCAATCTCTTTCATACTGATGACCTCAGTGTCATCGAGGTCCGGGTCTGGCGTACCAGTCACGGCGTCATCCCCGGATCCCTCACTAAGATCATCACACGCATACATTTCTCTATAAAATTCGCTCCATCGCTGCATGACGTCCGATTTTTCTGAGAGGACGTCATTAGTTCTAGAAAGCACTTTGTTCATTCTTAAGGCCGTCGCACCACTTCGGGTCCTTCCAACCTCTTTCCATAAGAGTTTAAAGTTCTCCTTAAAGTTGTGCGACAACCTTTCGTCCGCTTCCATTCTACACCTTTCACGCACTTCCTCAATCAGTGCTTTCGTGTGAACTTTCTGCAGACTATATCTTTCTTTCATCTTCTCTCTCATATCCTTATCATTACTAGAGGCCAAGTAGTCTAACCATGCTTTCTTCTTCTTCTTGACAGCTTCTTTCACTTCATCATTCCACCATGCATCTCTTCTTTTACAACTGCCTCTTTTTATTGTTCCACACACTTCTTCCGCTGCACTTACCATTCCATCCCTAAGGTTCTGCCAAGTTCTTTCTACACATTCTTTTCTGTCATCGATGGTGTCAAGCTTTTCGGCTACCCTCGCATGATATTTGTCCCTAGTATCCGCTTCCTGAAGCTTCCAGCTTCGGATGCGACAGACCGACTGTGGTTCTGTTACTGCCGTCCGGTAGCGCCAACCCGCGAACAGACCCCTGAATCTAGTAATCACTAGATAGTGATCCGTTCCCAGGTCAGCACCCCTGAACACTCGCGTATCCATCACCTGTTTTCGCAGTCGGTCATCCACCAGGAACAAATCGATCATACTTCTCTCATTCTTTCGTTCTCTAGTATACATATGGATTTTCTTGTGATTAAACATAGTGTTTGTCACAAGAAGACCCTTTTCCTTGTACACCGCCAGTATAAGCTTGCCAGCATCATTAACCCTTTTATCGCCAAACTTTCCAAGTACCGACTCGTACCCTGGTCGAGCGGTACCAACCCATCCATTCAGATCACCACATACAACAATTCTTTCGTTTCCCCTAGCCAAATCTAGAACTTCTCTTACATTCTCCCAAAACTCCTCCAGCTCAGCCCTGAACGACGAAGCTACCGGCGCATAAACAGCCAAAAGGAATAACTTCGTCAGTCCCAATTTAAAGCGAACCCAGAGAAGTCTTGATTCACAACCTTATATTCAGTCATAACATCGACCAACCGAGAAGACAGCAGCACCCCCACTCCCTGGCAGGCGTTCTCGCTCTCCGGGACTCCGGACCATAGAGCTAACGCCCCGCCAGGGAGCTCTTCAGTACCACTGCCTTTCCGTTTGGTCTCCGACATACACACGACATCTAATTCTCTTTCTTTCATTATTTCGATCAACTCATTCATCTTATCTCTCATGCCTCCTCTAACATTCCACGTGCCAACTCTGCACTCTGTCCTCCACCAGTTTAATATGTTTTTAATTTTTTTATTTCTGCAGTATTGATAGTTTTATCTGCCAGAAATTGTCCAGTCCTCCACCACCTTCAACAAATTTTCGGAGCATGCCGTTATGTCGACGTAACTCCTATATATTTTACCTCCTCTTACCGTATCAAATGTAGGAATGTCTTCTTCATGTAATATGTAGAGGCTCAGCTCGTTCAGAGTACCCGCTAGCACTTCCCCTCGTGCATCTTCTCGCACACTTCCCCACCATGGGCTCTACGCCTTTACGTCCCCTCCTATGAGTACTTCAATTTTTCCAATTTTTGTAAGTACATGTCTTAGATGATCCATGTATGGTTCAATGGGTATGTCCGGTTCGAGATACAGGGATATTACTCCCACCTCCCGGACACCCATTCCAATTTTAACCACCGTGAGATTGTTAGTGGTGAGATTAGGATACTGTGTGTCGCTGATGTTGTCGTTGAAGACGGCAATTGCAGTCTTCACCACTCCGGATGATCTTTGGGCGCATTGATATAATTGAGCACCTCGGTAGTCCTTCATGTACCCCACTCCCCCCACATATGGTTCCTGTATTAGGGCGATACTTATTCCACTCTTACTAGCCTCGATCATCAATTCATTTGTTGCAAGCTCTTTTCTTTGAAGATTTGCTTGCACAAAGAAGATGGGTTTGTTTTCAGCACTTACTCGTCTTGTTTGTTTATTGCCACTATTCTTGACCACAACTTTAACAGTATGCCACACTTGATCTTGCTATAGCGTTCCACCTCTTACGTACCGGACATTCATTGTCAAACGCGTTGTGGTCTGCCCGATCCAACTTTGCCCTAAGACAGTATACGCTGTACATTCAGTTTTAATATGTGGGCCTCCACAATAGGAATATAGGTCGTCCGCCTCCTTGCAGTGTCTTTTTCCGTGCCCATATGCAAGACACCTAGAGCATTGCACTAATGGTGACCGGTCAGCCACTACCACGCGCTGCAAGTCAACGTGCACTCGCCCCACCTCCACCAGACGCTGCCAAAGCGATGGGGAGACCTGAAGGATCACGTGGTTAGTATGCGGGTTTCTGGTCTTTTTCCGGTATCGTACTACTAGTCGCACCTCATCACTTTTTAGCGATTCCTAGACCCTGAGGTTAAGTCATTATTAGAAGCAACGGTTTTGTGAAAATGGTCGCTTTCGGAATTATATCGTAAAGTGGTTCAATCACATTTTTTTTTAAATTTAGTTTTAATTTTTAATTTGTATGTTTAGTCGTGCAAAGTAAATCTATTTATGTACTATTTTCTAGTCTTTTGTGTCTTCGATATTAACATGAATACAATGCAATAATTTTACAGTTCTAAATAATATTATCTGAAGTGAGCAGGAAGACTAAATTATCCAGACTGGCAACCGCATCAAAGAAGCAAGACCTACTCATGCTCCAAGAGAGCTTTTATTAAAACACTCTCTCGCCTTTATTGACAGAAATTACTTCGCTACCATATTATTTTCTCATGAATTCTAATTGTATATTTACTCCAAGTCTGATACTAGGTAATTAATTCCTAGATTAAAAACATCACAAAACCCTATGCACGATCCCCGTCGCCATTGTGACTGTTTTCAGCCAACTTCTAAAAAGGAGGCTACATTTCAATGGCGAACAAATTAACTTTTCATAAAACGTAATAGCCTACTTCAAAGAACTATAAAGAAAGAAGTAATTGCACATTTTTAATTCAGACCCTTAATTCTTCCAAACACTTTTATTTACTACTAAATATGAAAATATAGGATATTTTGATATTATATATATTTTATAAATCCATTGAGTTAATCCCAGCTGGAGTTAACGCAGCTGTGAGGGATAATTGGTGTACAATTATCCACTAACGTTCGCCACCCGTTACCAAAGCTAAATATGTCTAATAACATAATCATAAGTTTAAATACATTTATTATTCAAATTATATAGCAAATAAGCAATAAATATAAAATATGTGTCTGGTAGATAACTGTATACCATATCGTTAACACCAGACAAATTGTCTTGGGACAAATAGTCCGACTAGGTAAGTCCAACTTCGACCGAGAAGTCAATCGAAGGATTTAACTCGGCTGGGCAGCGTTCGGAAAGCTACGATACATCTTCTCGTCAGACATACCTCAAAACCTTAAAACGAAATTGTACAACCAGTGCGTGTTGCCAGTGATGACTTCCGGATCTGAGACGTGGTCCTTCACTGCTGGCCGTATGAAGAAGCTCAAGGTCGCTCAGCGAGCTATGGAGAGGGCTATGCTCGGAGTTTCTCTGCGTGATAAACTTAGATACTGAGTTCACGAAACTATGAGATAAATTCTGTACGACGTGGCAAATATTTCGTCATCACGTCACCGTGATTGATGTAACGACGCCGCACATATTAGCTTACACCCGCTGATGTTTATTCTCATGTGGGATTATTTTGAACCTTGCAATATTTTGGGCACTTAGATAATTTATTTTTATTGTATCCGAGTGTACGCACCTAATCCGTTCGGGAGCTAATTATTTATTGTTTGTTCTCCAATATACATGTTTATTCGATCACTCCTTAACTTGTTATGAACACTAAGCTCAAAGGGGTTGAATATGTAACGATTTATACCTGGCACAAAATACATGGACGTAAGTTCTACTTACACCCGCTGATGTTTATGCTCATTTTTTTTAAAGAATAAGGGTAACAAGCGAGTACACAGTCCACCTGATGGTAAGTCGTTGCTGTGACCCATAGATATCTACATTTATCCTCAATAAAGAATCAAAATCATTGTTTGCTCCTTGTTTATGTTAGTTTTTTTACAAGTACCCTGTTAATCTACATTGTATTTTGTTTATACTTAGAAATTAAAATTATTTAAAATGTATACTTATGATTTGAACGTGTTTGAGTGAAATGATTTCGATATATTAGTGTACGCCTAGGATAAGATTATTATTTGTTTGCAAGTATTTAAACTTTCTCATGTAAGTGAATTGTTGTAAATTCTTATGAGAAATAAAGATATCTCAAACCTTAAACATTAAAATGCAGATGCGTCGTTACCCGTGAGGACTAAGATGGAATCCCTCTTTTCCAGTAAAAAGGGTCTCCGGTTCTCTACACTCACCATACGAATGGCAGCTTGACACAGCAGTGTCAAGCTGCCATTTTACGCTAGTTTTCTGTGAGAGCGTGGTCCTTCCCCGGTCGAGCCAACCCATTCGTGCTACAACTATATTACTAATATAGCTGCAGCATGGATCTACCACGTATAAAATCTCATGGGGGATTATTTTGAACGTTGCAATATTTTGGGCACTTAGATGTTTTAATTTTATAATATCCGAGTGTACGCACCTTATCCGTTCGGGAGCTAATCATTTATTGTTTGTACTCCAATACACATGCTTATTCGATCACTCCTTAACTTGTTATGTACACTAAGCTCAAAGGGGTATATATATATATATATATATAATACGTAACAATTTATACCTGGCAAAAAATACATGGACGTAAGTTCTACTTCAACCAAGAGGTCAACCGACGAATCCGACTCTACATCTATCCTCAATAAAGACTCAAAATTCAGATGTGTTGTCACCACTGAGGACTGAGTAGGAATGCCTCGTTTACAGCAAAAACGACCTCCGGTTCTCTACACTCACCATACGAAATACAGAGCATTAAGCTGCTATTTTACACTAGTATACTGTGAGAGAGTGGTCCTTCCCCGGTTGAGCCGACCCATTCGTGCCGCAACCACAATAAAGCTGCATAATGTCCCTACCACGTAAAATAGTAGCATGTCAGAAGCAGAATGTCGATAAATGTGAAATATCGAGGCGTTGGCATTTTCACCCGAGTTAAGTTTACGGTGTCGTCAATGTAATCGGCGGTAGATCAAATTTATTAAATATAACCATGTATTTTATTTACTGACACCTTCAATGAAATTTTTATATATAGTATATAATAATACAGCGACCAGAGTAAAGCATCAACGATGCGAGACGTCTGGTACTGCGACCGCCAAATGTCTGCCAAACGTGACCACCGTTTGTTTCCATACTTGAATTAAAAACTTATTGAAAAACAAACAACAAGGACGGCAAAATTATTACACTCGACATGTTGGCTTTTAAAAAAGCGACGTTATTTTATGTCCTAGCATTTTTGCGGCAAAACACGCGCGTTAAATTTGCGGAATTTTAATAAATTAATGTTAAATATTAAGTAGCTGGTATTTAAATACGAGTAGAAGACAGGACTGTCTTCGAGAATTCAATCTTAGCAGACGTGAAGATCTAATTCGAAATACTTCGTCGCCGGAATTCCGTTACGGTGCCAGCACACTCCAAACAACAACTCCATCTTACAAATTTTAATATACACATTCTTTGCTTTTAATAATATTGGTAGTGCAAAACTTTCTTGAGCTTCAGACTTCTCGACCCAACGAGGTTCAGGTCAAGCTACAGTTAGTTCAGTTACGATTCGTTGGCACAGTGTGAAGCGCTCGTCTGCGGGTCTACGTATCCCGAACGAAACAAGTATTTGTGACATACAAATAAATGTTCCGTGTATGGATATTTTGTATTTGTACAATGTACGTACATACGTACCAACACACAGTAGAAAATCCTAGTGGCAGCAAAAATGTTTGAAAAATGTATTAAGAAATGGTTCTACTATACTGTGTTGTTCTTTCAAAACTTGTAGTGAAAATTAATCGCCTCGCCTGGAAGACGGTATAACGATCGCAGCACCAGACTTCCCACACCTTTGACGCTGCTGCCCGTCACCGGTCCGAGTATTTTACGTATGACGTAAACGAGGTGGTTATACTGCCTTTTGTCTGAAACCATGTCATCTTTCTGACATGTTCCATTGTTGCTTTGTACGGGACAAAATGGGGCGATGAGTTCTCTGACGCCAGCATCACACAGCAATTGGTGAATGCTTCTTCGATATCACCAACATGTGTCAAGAGAGTGAAAGTAAAGTAAAAATACATGCTCACCCTCTCGCAATCGTAACGCTGCGTGTAATCACGGAGGCAGTTTACATTAGCACAAGGGCAAACATTCAGACCTGGAACAATTAATTGGCCTTACAAACGCTTGTTAAGTATGAGATTCGATTCCATGGTCCTCAACGTTGCATCTCAATGCTAAACCACAGCACCACGGAGCAGTCAATTTTATATATTATGGTGTCATTAGGAAAGCATACTCTATAAAGTAAAATTCCTTGAATTTCTCGTTGTCGCCTGTCATTAATATAATTATAACACTTAAACTAATTCAGTCGGACTAAAGCGTTCAATTTGGAATAAGTTTAATATTACTTTTCGTTAAACGTTTGTTTGGTCACGTAGAAAGAATGAACGAGGAAAGAGTAACGAAAAAATCGGCGATACATTGAAAATAGGCCAGATTAGGAGTACCCTTAACCGACGAGCGTGTATGCGTAAATATATGGATGTAAAAGAGGCGAGAGAAGTGTGTCAGGATCGCGCCAAATAGAATTCCGTAGTCTCTGCCTACCCCTCTGGGTGACAGGCGTGAGAGTTTGTATTGTATTGTATTTCCG